AAAATCATCATTCTAGCATCGATATTGGCGGAGTTATGCTTTAATAAATTTAAATATATATTTTGGCCAAAATTATGGAATCGGACCTTAATTTCCGCAATTGTCCGCAATATCGTAAATCGCAATTGCCTATTTGCGGACCTATCCTTATGTATAGCAATCATTTCATATACATGATATATAAGTACATGTATATAAGGTGTTACATTTTTAGACATATATAAATCACGAATAAAACTTGAAATATTAGGTATACCCAAAGAATGTGTTAAAAAAAGTTAAAGCCAAATTAATGCCTTTTATTTAAATTCCATTGGATCAGTTTTAGAATTTTGCATTAAATCATATAATTCCAAAAAAGAGTTCCATAAATTTCGAATTTGTTGTACACTTGGTGATCAAAAAAACTTGTTAAAGTTAAAATGTTGAAGAACTTTAAGCTTATTCAGTCCCATTAAAGATGTGTATTACCAAGTTTTTGTTTCATGATTTTTATAAAAATGAAAATTAACTTCAATATGCTTCATTTCTTCCATAATAAGTTTTTGTGTATAATCATTCCATTTATTCATTTCTTTAAATTCTTGAATTACGAGTGCCCAAAGATGATCTGTAATTCAAAGCATTACATGTAATTCATTAATTACCCAATTTTTAATAGGAATCATATCAAATAAAGGTTGTTTAATATGACCAGAATAACAAGTAAAATTCTCTTTTAAATTTTCCATATCTTTTGTTATATTTTAGTATTTTGAAAGATCACCTTGATCATTTCATGTTACTGTATATCAAGAACAAAAATAATTTGAATTTGCACAAATTGAATCCTAAACAAATTGCTAAAAATTTCCAATCAGAACTAAAATATAATTTATAATAGTCCAAATAATTCCAGTTTGATTTTGAAATTCATATTCTTTTAAATACTGAAGTTCTTTAAGTATTGGATCCAAAACTGTTTGTAATATAGTATAATTTTCAATATCAGGATAAAGAGCTATTATATAATGAAAATCAGATTTCATTAAAAACAAGTAATCATAACTTATCATTTTATGTTACGTCTATCACCTGATATATGAAGATGAATAGTTGGATTATTAGAATCTAAAACATCAAGTTCTATTAAAATAGGAATTAAATATTCTAGTATTTTTACAACACTTTATTGTCCACCATTTCTCATTGACTCATATACCATTTGAATTACTTTAGGATCAGTTATAGTTCATGTGTTTTCAAAAGATTCAGAAAAATAATTATTATTTAATTTAACAACAGAAATTGGAATTTTTTTTTGCATTTTTTTATTAATTACTGTTTTTTCTTCTGACATTGCCTATTCTCTGATAAGATTATTAGATAAAGTTGTAATTGTTCAATAACTATCTTGGGATATTTTTTCTTGATCAATAGCTTTAACTGTAAGAGTATGCTTTAATTTGATTTCTTTTTTATCTACTTCACCAAAATCAATTTGATAAGAATCTTTTTGAATGCTAACAGTAAAAGTCATTGAATTTAAAGACAATTTATCTTCAGGATTGTAACAATAATTACTAAGATCTTCAAAAGCTGATCTAGCATATTTCACAAAATGTCAGGTTCTTTCATTTCTAGTTTTTTCTGTTATATTTTCATAAGGCTTTAATTTTTTAATTCTTTTTTCGCAAGAAGTTTTTAGAACTTGGAGTTGCACACCAAATAATAATGTACCTGATATTAAAGAATTGTTATCAGGATGAAGTATCTACAAAAAAAATATTGGAATTTTAATTTTTTATTAATATTAAAAAATTCAAAATTAATAATCCTAATTGATTATATTGAAAAAATATATTTATATGCTTATCTTTTGTACTTGTGTTGCTTCGTTTGTGCATGATTGTGTTGTTTCTAATATTTGGTCAAAATTATCACCATAGTATATTCTAAAAACTGGTTTGGAATTTTTGTAATATATGGAACATTTAACAGTATTTGATTTTTCTTTTCCCTATTTTGTTATAACTTCATAATCGTCAGGCAAAGGAAAGCTTTTAGGTTTTTTAGTAAACCTTAAAAGTAACTTATTAGGATAAAAACCCTTTTTTATAACTGTATAATTAAAGGTTCATTCTTCTTCTTTATATATTATATGTGATTTATCAGGATATGAGTGAATTTTTGTTGGTGGTTTTCATGGCTTAGATATAATGCGTTACAAAAATCAGAATGTCAATAGAATTGACTATGTTTACTTTATTTTAATTATTATTGGTCAGTATTATTTGTTAATCAACAAACACACTACCATTGAGCGCTAACTAAACCACTCTGGGTATTTTACAAATCTATTATTAAATTTGCAAAATACTTAGGTAGTTTGATCAGGAGGTATTTTGTAAGAAGAGGGTGGCTTGAAGGTTATGTAAATAATTAATATATAAAGTTTTTGGCATTTCATTTTTTGTATCGCGTTGTACTTTTTTGTATCGCGTTTTATTATTACATTATTAAAAATGGTTAAAGCAAATAAAAGTGCTAAGCGTTCTAGGTTTACTCTTAAAAAAAAGAACTTGATCAGTTCGTGAAAAATTAATGATTTTGCATTTTTTAAATAATTCAAATAGTGTTCGTGTTATAGCAAGATATTTTGATTTACAACCAAACCAAGTTCATGACTGGAGGAATAAAAAAGACCAACTTAAAGCTTTGTGTCTCATTTATTAAAATTACACAATGGTAGACAAGCATTTTTTTTGGATTTAGAAAATGAGTTAGCAAATTGGATTTTGGAATGTAGAGAATAAGGACTTCCAATTACTAGAAATATGGCAACAAAAAAAGCCAAAGAATTTGTAATAACTGATAAATATCAAGAAAAATATTCTAATATTTCTTCCTTTAAATTTTCAAATAAATGGATAGACTGTTTTATAAATCGTTATGATCTTTCAAATCATTGAAGAATAACAGTATCTCAGCATTTACCAGAAGATTTACTTGAAAAGCAACAAAATTTTTTGAGTTTTGTTCTTTATAGAAGAATACAATATGATTACCCCCTTCAATTTATTGGAAATAAGGATGAGACTCCTGTAACTTTTGACGAAGGTGATTGGAAAATTTCCGATATTCAAGCGGATTGATTAATTCTAGGATAGGTTTTAAACTTCCTTGTATGACATTGGTATTTAAGTCATGAATGGCGAAAGAGAGATTTAATAATCGCATCAATGTTAATATTGAGGACCACCAGTCATTAAAGAGAACTGGTGATTAAAAGGACAATTTCTCATTACTTAAAATATTATCATTATTAGTTGAAGAATTGTTACTTAATGAGTACCATTCGATTTCTTCATCAATACTATCTTCGAAATATTCTGAAAAACTTGATACTCCATTAATTGTAGCTATAAATGCTTCTCTATAAGATTCATCGTTTTCTTGTTTTTACCTAATTTATATACTTTAGAAAAACACGGTTCTAATACTATTAATATCAAAACTACTGGATATGAAAGAAATACATTTACAGTTGTTTTGGGTTGTATGGCAAATGAATCAAAATTACCACCTGTTATTATTTTTAAATTAAAGAATATATCTCGAGAAATATTTCCTAATGGTATATTTGTAAGAGTAAATGCAAAAGGATGGGTTAATGAAGATGAAATAATTTGGTAGGTAGAAAATATTTGGTCTAAAAGAACTGTTAATTTGTCTAATCCCAATTCACTTCTTGTCTTGGATTCTTTTCATGGTCATTTAGTCAACTCTGTTATTTAATATTATATAAATTAAAAGGATTTTTAATTTAATAGATTCATGAATTTTATAATGATTGGATGACAAATGAAGTTCATGAATTAACTCTATCTGGCATATTAAAAAACCTTCATATTCTTTAGTATGTTTATGGGTAAAAGATGCATAGGAAAAAATTGATACAAATTTAATTTGTAGATTGTTCAAATGTTGTGGCATTTCAGTTAAAAGTACTGGTTCTGAAGATGATATGATACAGTGGTGCTTAAAAGATTTGCATCACTTGAATGAAAATGTTTAAATCAAAATAACTTAATAAATAACACTTGAAAAATTATATAAAAAGCCTCATTTCATTTTTCAAATCGAAGAGAATTCAAATATAAACTTTATTTTTAATTTATTAAAAAATTACCCTCAAAAAGAAAGATCTATATCAATTTATATGATGAATTACATATGATCGATATTAATTTTTTGAAATTTTCGTTAATAAAAATGAAATTACCAAGTAAATAATCATTCAAAAATCAAAAAATTTTTCCAGATTATCCTTTACCATTGTGTATACCTTCCTTTGGCTTTAATTACATTATTGATTCGTTCAGGCATATTTTGTATTAATTTGGTTAAAAAATCATCATCCATATCAACCCATATTTTTTGAATAGCTTCTCAAAGCTGATCTTGACTATGAATCTGATAATCCAACTTTCTTAAACGTCTATCTATTTCATTCCAAAGATGTTCAATAGGGTTGAAGTCAGGTAATTATGGTGGCTACTCCAATACATTAATCTCTTTTTCATCAAACCATTATTTTGTTAGATTAGTTGTGTGTTTGGGATCATTATCCTATTAAAATATAACATTTTCTTTATCAAGCTCATACCATTGGATTGTTCTCAAAAGGTCTTCATTTAATATTTGTCGATATAATTCTCCATTCATATTCCCAAAAATGCATACAATGTTACCAACACTAAAAGAAGAAAAGCCTCCTCATATCATAATATTGTCACCTCCAAATTTTACTGTAGGTTTAATATGCCGATCCAGAAGTTGCTCTTCTGGCTTTTTCCAACAATACTGGTATTCATCAGATCCAAAAATCATGAATTTGGATTCATCTGACCAGATAACCTTGTTTTAGTCTTCAATTGTCCAATCCTTATATCTTTTTGCAAATTTTAAACGTAAGCTTCGATGAGTTTTTTTAAGATAAGGTTTTTTCCTTTTTATTCTTGAAGATAAACCATTTCTATATAAAGTTCTTTTCACTGTACATACGTTAACATCAATTTTTGTATCAGATTTTAATTTTTTTTAGATGTCTGCTGCAGTAGAACATTCTCCAGTTGAAAGAAGGCGGATAATATTTCGCTCATTACGGTCATCAAAAATTCTTGGGCGGCCTGTTTTGGGCAAATCTTTTACAGAACCAGTTTTATTTGCTTTTTGTTTTATTTGAATAACACTAGACTGATTAACATCTTCACGAGAAGCAATGAAATGAGAAGGATATCCTTCTTCTAATTCTGTTTCTTTTCCCAAGGACAAACGACCCATTTTTAAAATGTTATGAATTTTAATTAATGTAGGTGAAAAAAGGGTTAAATTATAAGTGATCCAGAAGTGTAGTAAGAAAGGAAACATATAGGAGGTTATCAAGTGCAAAAGATATGGGAAAATGATGGAATTGTAGGATATATTCGACCAGAGCATGTTTTACCAAAAAAAAAATTTTCAACAATAATTTTAAAAAAAAAAAGATCGATATCTAATGATTTTCATATATAGTAATATTTAGATCGACAAAACGGTCATAAGATATGCATCACTATTTTAGGAAAAAAGATCAACACAATAATTTATTGAATATAACATATTGTACTTTAGATGACGTTTTTAGGTAGCTCCAATTTTCTATTTTTAAATATATTGATATTTGTTCTAAAAAGTCAATTATATTTAGGTAATATGATATTAACAATTCTAATTTTTTGTCTTGGTGATGCAAATCTTTTGAGCGCCACTGTATTTGACTATGATAATCTTACAATAGATAAAGAAAATAAGGAAAATGATGAGTTAATTGGAGATGACGAATTTAGAGAGGAGGATTACAATAATTGGGATATTGGGATGATATTAATTTTGCGAATGTTTGAATAAATAATAAAGTTTTATTTTTGAATTTTTTAAAATTGAATAAAATATGTATTTAATGATATATTAATCACATGATTTAAAAAAAAAACTCCTATTTAAACCACCCGGGTCTTTTACAAAATTTCAGCCCAAAACCTTAGAAGGGTATTTTGCAGGGGGGGGGGGGGGGGGGGGGGGGTGGTTTAGTACGGTATATCCTAAAATTTTAGGTATGTTGCCGATCCGCCGATATGTGGTGCCTCACATCATTGATCGTTTTTATATATAAACAAATTGTTATACAGGAGGACAATATAAAATTTAATAAAGGTATAATATCGTAATGTATCGTTCGTTTAAAGTATATAATCTATGGAAAAATTTTAAAAAAATATTTAAAAAAAATAAATTAAATAAATATAAAAAGTAATATAAATCATACCTGAATAACCAATCGAGATATAGCTCCAATTAAATTGGCTAACGTTAACCACAAAATTTCATGTAAAATATTATTATTTAATGAACGGCGGCCAATTTTAAATCCTAACAAAATACTTACGCTAAATGAAAATATCAAAATTACAAGACTAGAAGAATAAAACTCATGATCGTAAATATTTTTTATAATTTTACTTTTAATATAATTCAGAAATTGTTACCTTGGAATAAATATTCCTTCGACGTTTTTGGCTTTTGTAAAAAAAAAAACCCAATACAACACACTCTCATAAATTACAAACCAGTTTAAAAAATTTAAAGATACTTGTAAAAATTTCTAAATAATAATAAAAATGATTATTTAAATAAAAACATTTTTTTATTTTTTTAAAAAAAATAAAAATAAAATGTTATTAGTGGTATTTACTACAGAAAAATTTCCATAATATTCTTTGCCTTTATATCCTTTGGCCAAGAAAAGCGTAGTCCATATTAATATTAATACATATGCTACAATAATGAGACCTGGTCCAAAAGTTTTCCAATGATTTGCTATTTTAAAGAAATTTTTTTGAGAGAATTCTCTCTTCTTGAAACAATGATAATATTGATAACTTACGAAATTGATGATATCCATAACTTTCATCTAAATATTTTGAAATTTCACCGGATGCAATAACAGTTACTAGCTTATTCTTAATCAAATAATCTAAATCTTGAATTGCCCATTTAACAGTTCTTTCTTTTCTAGTTTCATCTTTTTTGATGTCAATAGATAAAAAGATTTGTTTTTGAGGAGCCGAAGGGTCAATTTCAATCCTTTCATTGGTAGTTACACGTTCATGACTGACGGGAATTGCATCAGCCAATTCTTGACTTAATTTCGTATGAAAATCTTTGCGCTCGCTCTCGTTAAGACCTTTAAAATATACGGTCCCATCTACAGTTAATAGAACTTTTCCCTCAACGCTCTCTGAAAATTCTTCTTCTTCTGTAACTATTATAAATGATTAAATTGTATATACTGTATAAAATAATAAAGTAAACCAATTTACGTAAACCAGAAGAACTTACAAGTATTAAAAGCCCAAACATGTTCTTTTACACCATAGATAGGTTCTTGGTAAACTCGACTCCTTACGAAATTATTTTCAATTGAAACGAAGTAATTTTTACCAGGTTTATTGAATGTGGACCGAATTACTCTGATGTTAACCGTGGTTAAATTTCCATCCACACTTTGAGTTACAAATGCGTCGTTAATTCCAGAAGTGATTTGACGCAAATTACCATTTTCTTGAAAAATTTTAATGCGTCCAATTGACAAATCTTTTTCACCAACGTATTTAATTGTAAGGGAATTTGTATCGAGAGCAATGATATCATTAATGTTCGGAAATGTAGTGTCGATGTGGAAATTATCATATCCATGATCTAGAATATTAATAATTTAAAAGTTAAATTTTAATTCTTTGTTGAAATTTTTTTTTTTTTTTAGCATTTATCAGTTACCTTTTTCTTTTTCAAATTTATACAATTCAGTAGTGACCAAAGCCCAGAATGGTTTCTCTATCGTCTGAGCAAGTACATAAGTATTATTTCTCAAAATTTTCGATACACCTAATAGATTTGTCACGGTAGGATTTGGAAGGTCCCAACGATATATTATGCCTTCGTCATTAAAAATATAACCTTCGATGATAGATTCACTATCATCCGTTCCAATTCCACTTAATAAATAACCTCCATAAGGTAATGATGCAATCACATATTGATTGATCAATGGATTCGTTTGAAAATTACTCATCAATGGATTAACATTGTATACGGATCCAGATGAAAGAAAATCAATCTTAAGATAAAATGGTTTGTTAGCTGCTCCGGTTGTAAATTCGCCCGTTACTATACAAGTTTGTCCAATTCCAACGTAAGAAACACTGCAATCAATGTCAATAAAATTTAATCCTGAAAGCGGAGTTTGGTAAAGAACAGCTGGTTCTCGTTTAGTTGCATGACCATTCTCTAAGATTATAATGTAGACTCCTCGTGGAATAAAAGGATCATCAAATGTTGCTGCCACGTCCGTAGAAATAGCAAAGATCATCGCGTATCTACCGTCCACCATTGGAATTATATTATATGTAAGGCTAAGAATATCTTGAAAACTTATGTTATCTTGCGCAAGAAGATATATTTTTCCCTCTTCAGTCCTTCATCAAAAAATTAATAAATTTATAAATAAATAAATGTAAATTACTTTTCATAATTATATTTAAAATTTTATATGAAAAAAAATTACACTTCGTATTGTTGCCAGACTGTATTAGTAGAATTTGTTACAGGTATGAAACGAATAAATCCTTTGTCGGGGTCAAAGTTTGCAAAAATCCCAGCTCGGTTAGGGTGCCATTGATTCGTGGCTACATCAACAAAGCTCGAACCAAATGAAATGTTACTATAAATAAGAAGAAAGCATATTAATAATATTATTTATATACACTATAAAGTTAAATATTATATATTTACCTGTAAATATTTCCATTTAAATCAATTACCATTGCCCAATCAATATAACTAAAAGGATCAGTTAAATTCGTGGCTGTCGTATAAGTTACTATCAGAAAATTACTTCTTATAGGATAAATTCTAATAGGGCTCTCCTGTTTTCCATTAATATCCAAAATACAAAAATTAAAGTCTTGTATATCCAACTTAATATCAATTGGTACAACGCTCCCATCCGGATAAATTGTTCGAAGAGACAAATATTTATCTACCCAAAGTATACCATTTTCAACAGGGTATGACAAATCTGGACGAATTAAATGAATGACTATCGTGTTATCATAATAACTAACAATATTAAATATGGTGGGTGTGCTGTTGCTGACGCTCACAGTTGGTATGTCTTCATATGTAAAAATATTTTGTGATTTTATTGGTAATATAGCAAATGATAAAATTGCAAAAACAAAAACATAATTATTAAAATTCATCTTGGAAAAGTTTCGAAATTTAATCAACAGTTATCCAATAAACAATAAAAAAAAATTTTTAAGTCATTTTTCGTATCCAAAATAGAACAGTTTTTTTTATGATGGATTTGAAGTTTATTTATTTATTTTATCAAAATGATTATGTAGTGCCTTGGTTGCATATTTCGAATTGATTCAAACAACAGATTTTCGGGTTACACGAGGATTTTATTTTATTCAATATTTCCAAATAAAAGACAATGATAATTTTTTTTTATGGATACATGTAGATTATCAACTTGAATTAGCGTTTTGGGAATAAAAATTACTCAATTTATCTTATAATAGCTGAATTGAAGCCGTTTTTATAAATCAAAAATTATAGATTAAATTTTTATGGCAAAATGAGCTTTATGTTTGAATAAAGATATTACTTTCTAAGGAATAATTTGAATTGATATTCTAATAATAAAGGACTATTTATCTATGTATAAGAGGCTTGCTTGTAAATCTGTTGATACCTTATATATTATGATTTAAACCATTCCCATATAGCAAAAAACCAATAATAAGGTTGCATGAGAAATATCAGAGCTGAAGATAAATGAATATTGATCCGTAACGTGATTTTAATAGCAAACCTTTTATGTATTTTTTTTTTAATTCGGATTTATTAAGTATTTATGAAAATGGACAAGTAAGTTCTTTAACAATTCCTTCAAACATTCCTGGAGAGTTAATAAATTAGTATTAAATTCTTCCACAAATTTTGATTCTGGATTATCGCATCGCATAATAGAGAAATTTGTTGTGAGAATATTGTAATAAGAAAAAAATTTATGAATCTGGCTTTTGGTATGAGGACACTTATTTGAAAACGTGCACGTATTTACAATTCACTATATATAATCTTTTTGGAGAGCTTATTATTTATTAACAACGTAAAACTTTTTTATAAGAATTGATAATGAGAAGATTTATTATATTATTATTATTTATTTAAACGCTGGAAAGTGTGGATGGATATTTAAATTAAAACGAAAGAAGATAAAAAGATATGCAGAATGTTCGTGAATTATTATACTATCCAAAAAAGTGGAAGCGTAAAACAAATGATGGATGCTTCTCGCAAAGATAAATTTTGAATTATTGATAGCGAATTACATATTAAAATTCAAATATTCAAATAATGTTTTAAATAATTTTGTAAATAATTTTTAGTATCATAAAGAAAGTTAATCACCGTTATTATAAATTACATCAATCAAAAATCATATTCTTTTTATGAATTGTACTAATTTTAATATGCCGAACACCACCTAGATCAAGTAGAAATTATGGAAATTATCTGTATACATGTAATTTACATTCAGACGTGTCATTTCGAGAAATTATTTTTTTTAAAAGAGTTCACGAACATGATTTTTAATTTTCAGTTCGTGGGATTTATTATTCATTATATTATTGTTCTCTTACCGGTATATACAAAAAAGAACAAAAAGGATCAATTGTGATTTTTACTCTGAAAATCCTATTTGATTTTCAGATCACATGCTATTGTTTTATACAAATGAAAAAAGATACTGATTTGAAAATTAAGGCCATGTATTCATTTCTTAGCACGTACATAAGAAATTGTCCTTGTTTTGGTCACTATAACTATTCGACCCCAAGTTATTTTGATTTCCAATTTCGTATTTCTACACTTCTTTATACAAATAATACACCCAGCAGTCCTTGTGATCATTAAAATTTCCCTTATCGAGATAGGAAATGAGGATAGGCCGATTAATTATTAAATACAAAACAAACAGTATCGTTTGCTAAATAAAAGAAAGTCTTGTCCCGTCTCATTCATTCCTTGAGACAGGCCACATGAAATGTAATGTTAACCAGTAACCTTTGTGTCAGTGCTCAGGAGTTTTCAATAATTAATAACACCAGACCTTTTCCCGATAGATTTCAAAAACTGAGTATTTGAAATAGACATTGATTCACCCTATAAAAAATTTTCGCCCGAATATTCCATTATTCCGTATAAATGAATTGAAATTTCCGTGATTTAAGATTATTAATTCCGTGAAAATGAGCCCTTCACGGAAATAACATGGAATACAAAACATGGATTTATACATCTAAAAGAAGTTTATGATAATTAAGGTATTAACATTTCTCCAATCAGTTATTATTAGAAACATCAGCCCGATTAGAGAACAGAGACGAGTAAATTCAATTTGTTAATTCTAGAATCTCCAGCATTACATTAAAATATATTTTCCGAAGCAAAACGTTTAATTGTTAAGTGCCGAGAATAGAGATCGAATTGTGATAACAAATTTTCTTTTTTGAAGTGATAAATGATCTGAATCTGATGATCAAAGAAAGTCTCTTTAGGATAGTTTTCTTGTTCAAAAAAACTAAGGTGGTTATGAAATTGGATTGGTCAACAGCTCGGATAATTCAATACAATTAAACAATTTTTACCAGTAAAATCCGGAATCACCTGATCTAGTTTCTAAAAAAATCACGAGAAATGTATTACCCCTGTCTATCCATGCAAATGCTCCCTTACCCCACGAGTATCTATGAAATTGCCAAATGAAGTTAAGAACTTTGTAGGCACTCACGCAAAACATTCATATTCTGCAATTAATGTAACTCCTGAATTATAAAAAATGTCTTTTTTGGTGGTCTACAACAGAATTTCGCATACTTTGAAATACTGTACGTGATTTTAAAAAAAAATTTTTTTGGGTTCTTTATAAAAAAAGAACAATAAACTTTTTTTTATTGTACGAATTTATTTTTAGGGCAAAATTATTTTTTATTTTTTATTTATTTAATTGTAAAACGCACACATACCCCTCGTTACATTGAGTGAAACCTTTTAAATGTTTTATAGATGAACGCAATATTAATAATTAAACCTGAGAAGAAAGAAAATTAGATCGTCAGATCGAATATCTTGATTCAAAAAGATAATGATCAATGTCAGCAGGGTCCTTAAACGTTTCAAAAACTTAATTTTTTTTTTTGCCTAGATAAAGAAAATCGTTAAAATTGTCCAAAAAAAGCAATTCCTTTTTTTTTTTAAAAAAAAAAAATAATATCCTATCTTGGCGCAGCATTTTTTTTTTATTTTTTGCCATCATTAAATTATTATTATGACATGGATCACACGGAAATAATGGCTTCTTTTTAATTAAATCATTATTGTTAGTTTCTAGTCTTCTTAATTAAAAAATTTTAAAAAAAGATGACGATATAGTTTTTTTTTAAAAAAATATTAAATAATGCAAAAAAATAAAGATCATTTTCACATACTTCTGCAAATTCCAAAGACTATTGCATAAATAATATCATGATTTGCTGTTTAAAAAAAAGTATACTATAAAGTATACTAAATCTTAACAATAACATTAATTAAATTTTTTTTTTCCTTATACTCCTTATACTAATGATTGTAATTGATATCATACAGACAGATCAAAAAAAAAAAAGATTACTTATTTATTTATTTATTTTCACGGAATTCTCGTTGATTTAAAAGTAGCCTGAATTGAAAGGATTGATTCACTACGATTTTGAAAAAAAGTAACAATCTCTTCATCATTTACTACTCTTCATTCCTTTTTTAAAAAATTCTTTCTTTCTTTCCACAAAGAATCTATCTGAACAAATGGAAAATTCAAGAGATCGTGCCACCGGAAAACGTGTAGAAGATGATGATACGAAAAATATGGAAGTGGATCAAAAAGAAGAAGACGACGAAGTACATATACTGTAGACCATATGAATTGAATCATATCATGCTGATCATTAACTTTTTTTTTTTTTGTTCTCGTCCGTTCAGGAACCGGCGTCTCCTCCATCAAAGAAAAGAAAACTTTCTTTAAGATCATCCTCACGTAAACTTCGTAAAAGTCCTAGATCACCTCGCCCATCGACCACTTCTTCTGCAAAATCACCTCGCTCATCAACCGCTTCGGTAAAATCTCCTCGTTCTAGAACCACTTCCCCTAAAAAAGGTACTTCAGGGGCAACCTGGACTCCTGAAGAAGATAAAGTTTTGATAGAAAGCATCTTGGAATTATTACCTCCTATTCCTTGGCCAACCATTATCGTCAAATTACCCGAAAGGAATACGAAAAGTTTACAAAATCGCTGGCAAAGCTTGAAGAAAAGATTACACGTTTAAAGAATATTTCTTTTTTAAGCAAAGATAATTAGTAATATTGTAATGTAATTAATTCCCCTGTAATCTAATGACGTCCGTCATTCATTTGTTCGTTCAATTATCACAAGATGTTGTTAATAAGTCTCCTTTTTTGTGTCAATGAAATAAACTTTATCACGTGAAATCTACAAGCCAATCGGGAATCAGAAAGTGAACTCGTGCACTTTGCTTTCACACTTGTTTTCTTTATCATTCATGTTTTATAACCCACAATCAAACTTTAATTATCTTTAATAATAATAATCAATTTTTTTTTCATTCTAATTTATTATTTATAATACACATTTAAAATATTATTATTAATAATTATTATTATTTATATTACGGGTTACCATTAAAATGATTAAAAAGTAAGGTAATCTCCTTTTGGATATGCGGCTAAAAAAGATGTTAATGATAATAATAATAAAGAGGAAAAGATTTTCTTAAAATGCGGGGTAAATAATAATAATAATTTTAAATTATTATTATTATTATGATTGTTACTATTATTTAATAATAAAAATGTCGGCAATTTTTTTTTATTCAAACCTTTACTAATTTAATAAGTTAATCATCGTATCATCATACGGTTCTTAAACAGGCTAAAACCTGTCAATGTCAATCTTTTTAATGATGATTCTATAGCCGTCCTAACGACCTAACGAAGCAATCGTAATAGTATTTGATGATTATTATTATTATGAGGACTATTATTTTCAAGTGCCAATTGCAATACCTATTTACTAACTACTACTATCTCTTTATTTACAGTGATTCAATTATCCAAAGTTTATCAAATGTTTACAACTACTTTAAAACCAACTAAATCCATAGTTATATATAACAATATTTATCATTGATTAGATATTACAGGCCCTTTGACTCTATATCTAAAATAAGAGGAGAGGTAAAAATTCAGTAAATGATTAATGAATTAAGATTAATAAATTTTAAAAATAGAAGATACCTTCAAATATATTTTCAAAATATCTGGAAGTATATAGTTTTTTTTTTATTAAAAAAAAAAAAAAAGATGTAAAGAAAATGTAATCTATCTGACAATCAAAATCCATTCAAAAATAAATCTTCCACGGGTATGCCAGGATCACGAGTACATTCTGGTTCAAAATATGTCGTCCCAAATGTTGTGTCATAAGAATCTTTTAACCAAATAGGTATTTCCCCATCTCTGTATGTTAATGACCCTTGTACTATCTCCAGCAGTAAATCATAACTATATGGTATCCCATTTGGTCGACTTGGAGTCAGCATAATTCCCCTTGATAAGGAATATAAATTTTGGGTTCCATACTTTCTTTCTGATATAAGACGAGCCAAGAGATCACGATCTATCTCACATTGAGGTTCATCCCTTGGATATGTAGGAGACAATTCTGCTGAATGTTCAAAAGGTTGGGTTTGATTATTGAGATTCTGTTCCAAGGAACTATTATTCGAAGAAGAAGAAGAAACATAAGTGTGAGTTAATGTTGGCGATGTCGTGGAAGATGGTATGGGAGGATGGCTGATTTGTTGCTGTTGCTGTTGCCTGGCAGGATTTATTGATTCTGAATATTCATTGGGCATTTCAACGTTTGCAGGGATATCCCGCTGTTGTTCTAAAATCTGTTGAGGTAAAGCTAACTCTTCGGAGGCAGGAATTTCTTCCGTGGCCATTGCGTCAAGTGTAGGTTCGTACTCATATTTTATATCACTTAAAGTTTCATGTGAATGTCCAGACTCTGAATTTAATGCTTGCAGTTGTAATTGTTGATGCTGGTGTTGTTGTTGGTGCTGTTGGTGTTGATGCTGTTGGTGTTGATGCTGTTGGCGTTGTTGGTGTTGTTGATTAAGAGGAACGGCAACGTCTAGTTGCATTTCGTTCTCTTCTATCTTTACAAGACTATCTCTTTGGTCTGATTTAATTAAACGATCAATTAATGCTGGCTTATTACCAGTCGAAAGAAGCCTGCGAGCTAAATTCACAAAAAGTTTTAATCAAACATTTCATAAACGACGATAACCTAAATCAACATTTGTTTTGAAAAAAAACCGACAAGGTCACCAACCAGGGTAGGGACTTACCAATACACAATTCACGAAGTTCCGGAACTTTTTTATCATTATATAAAACCATAATAAATTCTAAAAGAAAAAAAGGGGAGAGGGAGAAATTGTAGGATTTGTTAAAATTTTTTTTTTTTTTTTTTTTTTTTTTTTTTACAAAACAAAAGTAAAAAAAAATATCGCGAAAAAAAAATATGTATTTTTTTTTTTTTACCTTTTCACGAGAAAGCAAACCCTTTTTATGCACATCGTATGACAAAAAGAGGTGCGACAATAGTATGCATTCCCATGATTCTTCATAGCATTTTCCTAATTTGGTAATGGACGTTGACCAATCAAAACCGCGGAAACTGATTCATATCCGCAGTTCATGACGTTGTTTGGCGTACATTATAACCAATCTAGCAAATTAGTTTATTATTAAATGCAATGAGAAGTTCTCCAAACATTACTAAAAACATTAATCAGCAAGCACGACATTAATAATAACGCATTGGTTATAGTTTTTGATGGGACCCAAGCCTTAATTATTTATAATTGATAATAATGGAAAACTTATAAAAAAGATCCGATAACAATGCCTTTGCTTGTTTTAAAAAAAAAGAAAGAGATGATTATTATTATTATCATTATTATTATTATTATTATTTTGAATTAACGCCGAGGGAAGAGAACAAGTTCTTTGGTATTTCGTATTTTGTATCAATAAGAAAAAAAAAAAGATTCTCCCTAAAAGTTTTATGTAGAAAACAAAGAAGTGGTGCACAATGCACATCTTTATTACCGTCGTGCAAATATTATTTGTTTTAAGGGAAAAAAAACTTTATTTGGAGGTTAAATGATGAATATCTAAATCAGTAATATGGCCAAATTGGAATTCTTATCCAACAATAAACGCAATTCCAGAAACAGGTAGAATATCCAGGAAACCATGATCATGTGTGGACTCAAACGACAAACGCCCAATAATGTCGTGAATCACGTGCAATACCATTGGCGTATTGAATTTCTAAATTTGATTTAGTGTCAAATGGGGTAACTTCCATCAGTTTGATGTTACTTGTTCAGCTTGTTAACTTTATTGATTTTCAGACAGAATGTGAGACTTGGGCCTTTTTTTTCGTGTTTTCCGCAAAAAAAAAAAGAGATGATGCGCTTTTATTTGTTTATAATTGAAATAACAAAAAGCCTTGTATTGTATTTAAAAAAAAAAAAAAAAAAAAAAAAAATTTAAGGTTTTGAAATTCCGAAATTCCGAAATTCCGAAATTCCGACGTCATTTGAAACATTATTTTGACGAACTCCCTAATCAAAAGCCCATTACGACGCGATTCTAGAGATTAGAAAGGTTTTTTTAAGATAACAATTGAACATTTGACGTATATTAAAAACGCGTTGTTTTAAGGATTTTTTTATTTCAAGTAAAATTTTAAGATCTTTATTGCGCCTTGATCTTAAGGAAGTCTTCCAACCTGTTGAAAACCTCTCATAACATGATTTTCTCAACAATCAATCCAAAAATGGTTTTAATTATTTCAAAGATCGTCCTTTTCACTCTTGTATGTTACAGGTTTATGTTATAAATTATCAAATTGTCCTTTTCTATTCGTGCAAAGTTTTTGAAATAATCTCATTCCGTTTGAAGAAGCTCAAAAAGAGCAAAAAGGGTGTTGGTGATCATCATATCCGTTTTTATTGGTTTCTTTAACCTCATGTACAAAAAAAAATAAGGAATTCCTTCATGGAAGGGGGTTATCACAGAATTATAAAACAAAGCTTGACCAATGAGTTTGGTTGACTTAAATTCAACGTGTTATATGTTGTTAACCTGTTTAAATATTCGGATAGTCCAAAATAAGGATTTTAAGGTGAAGGAATAAAAATTTTGTTCGTTTGTATACGGTAATTTGTCATGTGATGAATAGTATTTACAAATAAATGCGACCAATTAACCCATTGTTACACCCTGATTAAATTATAGATTGACCTTTTTAATTCCACCAATGAATTTGTAAAGTTAAAAAAATGAATACCAGTTGGAAATTTTCAGAACTTTGTGCAAGGGGTAAACCAAATTTTTTGACAAGTCTTTTGAAATGAGAATGTCACATGAACGAGGTTTCCAAAAAGAAATTTCCATCATTGGGTGATGAAATCACGTGAAATCACTGAATTTCATTGATTATCATATGCAGATCATCTCTAAAATTGTGTGCCTTACTTTTTAAAGGATTTCAATAAACTTTTATACACCTATAAAATCTTTACCATGCGTTTTTTTTTGAATGTGGTTTTTGAAAGCGGAGGGGGTTTTTCAAAAATGAACTTTATTTAACAGAAAAAATCCATAATTATTTTCACTAAACTTTTAAATGCCAAGATTTTTTTGATTTAAAAATTAATACTTTTTAGGTATGATCGGTAAAGCAAGTACTAGGTCGATCCATAATCTATTTTTATAAACAAAAAAATATTTACTATTTCGATTAGTTCGACTAGATTAGGCATTTTTATGAAACACGAAAAAAAAGTTTTTCTTTTTTTAAAAAAGAAACCCCAGATTTCCAAAGCAAGACCTTTTAATTCCCCGAAACCTTTTCGCGCATTACGGTACAATCACATAAAACATCACCAAACACAGCGTATTATCACAATCGGTGAATATCGTTTTTAACCCATAAAAAAAACATGATGCTTTAATCAAGAAGGGGATTGTTTTGTTTCGATAAAGATATACCCTGCAAATATATTATATCGCATTACGTTATAGGTACCGTCGTATAACAACATCGATTTTATTTACCATTTGTCATTATTCTACGTTACTATTGATAAGAGGTTCAACATTTGGTGCATATTTTTTAATTTGTAACAGGTCATCGGATTACAACAGTCCGTCAAAAGAAATTTATCGAATTATTATTTTTTTTTTTTTTTGCGATGTTTACTCTTACATTCCTTACAAATTTTCCTTGAATATCAAAACATGTCCTTATCACAAGTCACTTTTCTAAATTTGTTCTCCATCATACACCATCCAAATCGCGTAATACACGCCCCAATGTATTGGGATATTAAGTCTTACAAAGAAAAAAAAGGATCTGCCAAGCTGTCAAACTATAATTATAGTGCTACCAAACACCAACTTTAAATCTTTAATAACGCCTTCATATACCAAATTTGTTGAAATTATTATTCCGATTTTTTTTTTTTAAATTTTTTAATTAAATTGTTTAAAAATATTTTTATGGTTTTTTAGTGATCTATATTTAGTTTGGTTTAATTAGGTTTATAAAAAGTAATGATTTTAGGTGACACGATAAAATTAGTAATTGAATACAAAATTAATTTAGATTAACCTTAATGGGATCTTTATTACGAAATTTTTAATTTTTATTATTTTAAAAATCTGACGGATCAAACATTTCTTTCACTTTCTCCTAATTTGTTCTTCACATCGCACCCTCTGTTTCTTTACTACTAAATAACATTAAGAAAAAAAAAAAAAATAAAAAAAAAAATAATTTCAAAGAAAAAACGGGAAAAGAAAAAATAATGGTAAAAAAAAAAGGAAAAATTGTTCGGTTTTTTAAAAGATTTTTTTTTTTTGGTTTTTTGTGAATTTTTTTTCTGTACATAATCAAATAAAAAAAAGGAAAATAAATCAAGTAAATATGCTATTGTATTATATAGCATGAGAATAAAGTAAATACTTTTTTTTTTTGGTTTTTTTCAAATGTTCAATTATTCCAAGACATGCCATGTGAATGATAACAATGTAAACCATCCATCAACCCGTTAATAAACCTTGATGGAAAATCTACCATGTAGATCGTTAAGATAATTTAAAAACAATCTCCGCTCCCCTGATCGAATTTTTTATGTTGAAAGATGATTGACGAAATCACGTGCTCGCTAAAATTGTGCAAAATCAACCTCCCTGACATCTTCCATTTTTACAATCACATCCGCATGAAGTGAACCGTAAATGACTTTCCTAACAGGATCCTCCGGCATATATTCCAATTCCCCGTCTGCACTTTGTAAAACAAATTGCTTTCCTTGTGGTGCTGGTTTCTTGATAGCAAAAGACAAAAGTGACGAAAATGTTGTTTTATCAGAAACTGCGATATTCTGTTTATATACCCTGGTGGGTGAACGGATGGTGACGGATTTGAGTTGTATGAAGGTAGGTGATGGTGTTGCGCTATCTAATAAATTTTATACAATCGTGTGATCAAAAATCTTTATATAAATTATGAAAACGGGACGAGACGAGACGATCAATTTACGTACCTGGACCTGGACTAAAATCAAGAGAAGGAATTTGACGTAATCGAGGTGGAGGACTCTTACGAAGTGGAGGACTCTTACGAGGAGTGAGAGGCGCCAAAGGGATATTTGATGAAATCATGGACGAATCATTATTTGATGGCAATTGCAAAGGTTGAATCGTGGCAGCTGGATGAAGGAAGTTTTAATAAATTTTGCATTTTAAAGATTATTATATAAATAACGTTAAGCGATCGATCAAATTACCTGGGGTCGTGCTGCGTTGCTTGGCATATAAAATCAATTGAACTTCACTACCCTCTCTTTGATTTGACCAATTTTCCCAAAAATTCTTAAAAGCATTTTCATCGGACAACGCGTAATGTGGTGCATCCTTCCACGTTTCAGTTCGATAATAGATCGAAGATCTATCAACCTTTCCCCATTTCTTTGGGAACTTTGCAGTTGAAATTGCGTTGTGTAAATATGGGAGTGAAATAATCGACTCATCATTGGTTACCATAGGAATTCGCGCGTTGCGCTCGAGTTTGACGGGAGGAACATGTAACATGTCAAAGCAGACAATTTGGATTGATGACGGATCTAGATCGAAAAAAAAAGAAAAATAAGTAAAATGAATACATCCAAAAAAAGGATCAATACACTAACTCCATTTTCAACATAAAAATAAAAACGCCCCCAACAATGAGAGATACCGTTTATATCATCCTGACCCAAACTTTCATCATCATCATCACCAGGTGTTGTTGAAGAGATTTTTCGTTGACCGGTCCTTTCCTCGTTTTGAACCAATTCTTCCAATACATCACGCATCATGGGTTCAAATTCTTGAGAGTCCCAACCATGACCAAGTGCCATATTATAACTTTCGATGTGTTGAAAATATTGGTCCAAAGAGTTCGCCTTGATAGTACCCTGCTTTTTCTTTGCGTCGATGTACTCTTGTAGATATTGTTTCGTTACCGGAAAAAAGGTCTCAACGGAAGGGTGAATACTCTTGAGAACGTTAATATAATTTTTTACCCCACAACGTGAAGCTCGAGTGGTGAGACTCACGGAACGCTGACGACGACGAGGTTTAGAAATGTGAAGGTGTTTACGTGTAGCAGGCATACTTGCTTTATTATTATAATTTACTCTTTTTTTTAAAAAAAAGAATGTAAATCTCTTTTTTTTATTTTTTTCGATAGTTTAAGTTTGAAATAAACTTTTATTTGAAATAAATAATAAAGTTTTTGTTCTCTTGATAAATTTGATATTTTGTTTAGGCGAAAGTTAAGTTAGGCATAAAATTAAGCAACACTAGTTATATTTTTGGTTTTTTTTTTTTTGAAGTTCAAGAACGACGCTGAATGACGGAAAGGCTGTTCGAAGTCATAAAAAAAAAGTTTTGTTCAAGAGAGGGGGGTTTGAATCCTTGGGAAAAACGCCACCCCGCCACGATAACAACAACAATAGGGTTTAACGGAGCATTATTATCATCATTTATTTTTATTTCAAAAAAAAAATTCTTAAATTTCAATCAGATAAATTAAATTATAGAGGAACGTCATTCAATTGATGACGAAATCAAACTTTAAAAAGCAAGAAAATCATTTGAAGATCGATTATTACAATAGAAAATACATGAACGTGTTAAATTGTGTGACAAATTGTGTAGCCCCCAAAAAACTTTTTTTTTTACATTATTTTTTATGTTATCACAAAAACTATTCTTAAAAAAAAATTTATACTATTTTTATACTATTCTATTTATGTAATAATAAAGTTAAAATAAAATAAAAAAAAAAAAAAAAAGGTTTCTTAATCGTAACGTATAAGAAATCATAAATTGGGGGCAAAAAAGATTTTTACTTTATAAAGTACCGCAGCCATAATAAATAAAATTAAAGTTTTTTTTTCTCTCTTGCACAAAAAAAAATTATCAATTGCGCATGTATTGGGATATCATTAAAAAGCAGAGAAAGGTGACACCACATCTTCAATAGGCAACCCGCGTAAATCCTTAATATTGTTTTTATTTCAGGCAGTTTTGGATAAGACAAAAGATTAAATTCATATTATTTCATTCAAAAGGAAAAGGAATGAACAATAAAAAGAGGTTCTCATCAAAGAGCGCGATTACATGTAATCCCGCGGGAAAAAAGAAATCATATCAAACGAATATAATATTTCTTGTTTGTACACATATCTGCATTAACGTAACCACTAAGAAAACGGGTTTCTCTCTTTTTCTTTTTTTGTTCCTCTTTTTCTTTGATGTTTATTTCAATGAGTCATTGAACAATAGAGGAATATTGTACTTGTTTATCTTGATGACATTGGTAATCAGTGAAAAACAATCTTTTTTTTGCCAACAAAAAGATTATGTGTTGTATTATTTTTAAAATTATTGATAACTTAAAAAAATTCTGTACACATTTTTTTAAAAAAATACGCCTATTTTTGACGCGGTTCATTTAAGGCATAGCGCGTTGAAATTACCCATGTCAAGAAAAAAAAATACTCCAAAGGAAATTCGTTTATCTATTTATCATTTATCAAATAAGTATGTATTATGAAACCTTTTTTTTTTCATAAGATATTTTTCAAAAATATTAGTAAGAAAAATTTAACCCTCAAAAAAAAAATAGCAATATGACATAGATTATCATGAGCCTAGACAGCATTTTAACAATTTGACAATTGTTTATTTAATCCTACAGTCATACCATGGCCACGAGGTTGATCTTACCGCTCCATCTTTTTAGTCATAAGTTTTGGCGCCCACATACGTTTGTGACACACTGTGATTTCTTTCTCATGCAGTACTACTTTTTATGCCCATAGAATTTTAAGAAACATTTTAAATATTTTAAGTTTCTCATAGAAAGTCTGGATACAGTTAATCGATCTTTTCCTAAATAAATATTTTTTATTAAAGATTTAAATTCATATTTATCTATTTTATCATACGATATTTTATCCACCCTTCCCCCCCGATTACTCTCGTCATCTTATGATATCCCCATGATGAAGTTGTTTAACTCGGCCCGGATCCTTTTCGGACGCGTATTTATTACGATAATATTACACATATCTTTTGATCGTTTCTCTTTGCGTGAGTTATATCATGAATTTGTGCTGCTATTATGATTGCCGAATATGATGATTCTCCTTTTGGTCTCAATTTAACATTTGCCTTAAACCCCTGAAAAGCTCATCCAAATTAGGATTTAAAGAATAAGCATAAAGATGAGAAACAGGATTTGTTATAAATTAGGATTTAGTGAATTTTCTAAAGAGAAAAAAAAATTTATACGTACAGAAAATCAAGTTATTCTAAAATATTAATTTAAAAGTTAAATAAAATGTGCCATATCTAAACATGAAAGGTAAATGGCTGACTAACTTAGTAATCAAAAAGTGATTATTTTTAGATCATGTATACATTGAAAAACTAAGCCTGTGAATTTTTCTTTTAAACATATGGGAATCCGGCTTTTATTGGGTAATGGATAACAACGAAAATGCAATGCACTGTGGACAATGATGGTCGGCCTTCTCAAACGCGAGACTGCAGGATGCATTTCCGGAAAATTTAAATTAAATTATTATTTTGTGTGGGAAATGCTCCAAAAAAGTGTGTTGCATTTTCGTTATCATTAGTGCCTCATGTTTTACGCGTAAATTGCGCGTATACCTTATTAAACTGGTATAGGAAAATTCTTTGTTTCGTTTTTATTTTGACATTAAATTTTTTTCTCCATCCCCTTTTGTAAGCTTTTAAAAACTTGATAAAAAAAAAAGGTGACGCGTCATTTATCACATAATTTTTATCACAAAAAATCATGCATCGTGTTAAATGATTATTCGACGAAATTTTTAATTTGTTTATTTTTGGTAAGATTAAGTCAACTAGCATTGATTGGTCAAAATTTTTGTCGATATTTTTTTTTATTCATATATATATATATTGATATTGATTATATTGTTGATTGTGGAATTTTATATGTTATTACAAAATGTTATTACAAATATTTTAAAATTAATGATTAAATAAATAAATAGTACAATTTAACAAAATTTTTATACATAAAAAGATTTCACCGATTTCCAGGTCGGTGGAGATGATTTATTGGTTGTAATGACGATGCTCCCATTATCATTTTAGTAAGAAAATAATTGCCACTTTTAATGTCAAATTATAGAGCAATCATTAACGTGATATTGGGAAATGGTTCGGGTTTGAACGAGGTTGTAATTGTGCAGGAATGTTTGTAAGGTGAGGTGATGATGACGATGATGATGGTGATACATTGGAATTATTATTCAAATCAGTTGGTTTGATGGCCGTTATATCATTTGTATCAATGCTACCACTCGTACTATTTCTCCCTCGATTCTTCTTTTCAATTGGTACTTGATTTAACGTTACATTCGGATATTGAGGTCTCAGTTCTTCCGGATTTAAAGGACTGTTATTATTATTCTTCTTTTGGAATATTTGACTACCGTGAGGAGAAGGTGAAGGTGAAGATGATGTTTGAAATTTTCCATGACTATTATGATCAGGTGAATAAACTCCTGCTCCTGAATTGAAATTACTCCAATTATGATGTGCGGTCGGAGGAGTTAAGGGTATTTCTTCATCATCATACGTTTCGATTCCAAATTTTTTAAAATCAACATCATAATTCCGTAATCTAAATCCGGAAAGATAATGTCGATTCAATGTTTGTTCAACAAACCAGAGTTTTAGGTTAATCCTAGCATCAATCCTTTTATTTAGACTCTTTGAGCTTGCCATTGGATTAGACGGTGATGAAGGAAAATTTTGCTGTGTCGGCGTTCCATTAGTCGAGAAAAAATACAGTGAAGGCGTATACGCGTTGACGCTTAAAGGAGGTGAAGAACTTCCGGTTGTTGGGCTTAACCCGCAATTTATTTGACTTTCCAAGTCTTTTTGATCTTTGTAAGTAATTGGTAATAATCGATTCTTTTCATCTTTTTTCAAGGCATCTGGTGAATTGTGCAACAAATATCGCTGAACTAATCCCCACGAACGGTACTTGCCCCTCCTAAATAATTTAATTCATGATCTTTAGCATTATTCGTAATAATAATCTTTTTTTTCTTTGATGAAAAAAGGGTAAAGCATTACATTTATCTTACCCAAACATAAGAAACCAGATCGCCAAAGTATATGTCATCAGACCACCAACAGCGGAGATAAGGTCTGGATAAAAAATCAAATTGGTTTAATCAAAAATGTAAATGCATCAATCATCCAAGGTAATTTTTTCTTACCAAATGGTGTATATGGCCTCCTCTCCGTGTAAGTCACCGCCTACAAGAGATACATGAGAAAATGTCAGTGAACAATATAAAATGATAAAAAAAATAAAAACAGTTGTTTAAATAACTTACCATATATGTGTCTGGGGCATATAAAAATCTTGCTACCATGTTTTTTACTCCAAACCCTCCATCAATTTTATTGGAATTTTGTTTATTAACAAAGAAATAAGAATGAGGTGTTTTATTGACATCAATTTTTTGAGTTCTCGTGAAAGTAAAGGTGTTCACGGAAGGCGTTGGGCCAACAAAAGGTTCAACCATAGACATATTTCTTTCTTCATCAAATATGCCAAACAATAGATTGTTTTGACCATCAAGGACTTGTTCACCTTCATTAATAAAAGCCATTAAAATGATTTGATCAACCACCCCAGGAATGAACTGAATGTTTCTTGGATTAAATATAAAGCAGGGCCAAGCACCTAGTTGCAAGGTCCAATCCCCAGCTGCTAAACTATTTGTATTAGTTGGAGAAATGTATTCTGAAGGTAAATCCGTCGCCACATCTGTTGTTGAGGTGCCATTTGGTTTCCCTCTTTTTAATGTTTGCGCTCGTAAACTCGTCATATTTTGCGTACAAATAAATGATGACCATACTGGAAATCCCCCCATAACAGATAAATCTTTAATTTGCATGGAAATTAATGGGTCTACATCTTTTATTTTAAATGCTATAGATATTTTTTCTATAGAAAGTCCTATTATAATGCTTGAGAATACGACAATAAAAATGCTCCTCAGCAGAAATTCTCTATAATCTTTAAATTTTATCGTCATTTTTGATATCTTGATTACCTAACTATTTTCTAATATATCCAAATTAAGAAGACAATGGACCAAAAAAATAAAAAAATAAAAAGGAAAAAAAAGAAAATTCAAATTTATGATTTTTTGAAGAGAAAAACTGAAAGAAAAAAAAAAGATTTCATGAATTTATTGAATTTATATAGATTTTATGATGATAAGTTTTTTTGGTAAAAATAGCAAATCCGTGATTATTATTAATAATTTTTTTTTTAGATCCAATTTACAAATTACCCCGTAGATTATGCTTATATATGTTATAGATATTTTATGTAACGACCTATTAGAGCATTAGAAACTCCGATTAATAAATCGGTTTATATAATCTAACTTTTTTTAGTATCATTTAAATTATCATTCCAACTGATCCATGTGTACTTACCAAATCGGTCAAACCGCGGAACTCCGTCATTATTTTAACCCAAATAGTTGACGTTATCTCGATTGGTTTCTCATTAATATAGTGTTATATTGCAGTTTCCGGAATCCCTCCCGAGACCTGACACAAAATAAACCGAAATTCTGGTTTACTTTTGTATTAGCACCTTTGTTTTTGGACATTGTACTCGGCTATTATACGCAGATTTAATATAACTTGTTGAATTATGAATGGCACATTTAGGGATTGGAATTGGAATTGAAAATCAAAACTGCATATTCTTGAGACAATTTAAGCCTAAAGTAACATTATCTAATTCTCATTCATCTTCCTCAAATGCGATGTATATGTCATATCCACAACAGCATTCACAAAGTACAATAATTTGAAATGGCTGTTCAACGAAAATGATACATTTGTATTTATCATCGTATGTTTCATCTTATATTTAAATCTGATAAATTAAAATCTATTTATAAAACGGTAATTAATTAAATTTATTTAATTTTAATATCATTTATAAATAACCCTATCTCTTTTTTTTGAATATGTTTGAGATTAATTATAAATTTATGTCATTAGTAACCAAAACATTTATTATGATAAAATTTCTTTTTTTTATTATTATATATTATCGTACGGCTCACTTAAAAAAAGCTTATCGAATCTTAAACCTTTTATTTCCTTAATCTATATAATCTATATTAATCTTTCTCAAACAAATATGCATTTGAAATAATAGCATTTATAAAAAAAAGCCTTTTATCTTATTAAATTTCAAAATATCAAGAATGTTATTACCTTATGTAAATAAATTATCCCCTGGTTAAAACCGTTTACACAGTTTTGCAAATGTACTTATACTCTACTAGGTATTAAACTTTGTATGTATTTATTTAGTAAAGTTTGCGGTATATAAAACTATATAATATACCATACCATTATCATATGATATTAATTGTTACATTTTTGCATTTAATAATTAATTGAATCATTATTTTTACGTTTTAAAGGAATTGTAATATTTTGTAATTCAGAAAGAGTATTTCTTGATGTTGAAGAAGATTTTTCATCGGAATTATCTAGCTTCAGTTTCTGTATCATTCTTTATTACATCATCAATTTTATTTTCTTTTTGAATATTCTAAAAATATATATTAATTAGTAAAAAATTTAATGTATTAAAACAATGCCAAATAATATAATAAATATAATAAATACTTTTGATATTTCTGGAAGCGTTAATTTAGCTGTTTTTAATCTCTGTGTTTCATTTTGTGAATGATACCTAAATAATATTAAAAAAAGATTATATAAATCAAATAATAGATTGTAAAATGATAAAATATATACTTACGCATTTAATCCCGATGTAATGTTATATTCATAATAGCTTGAGAGTCTAATCCTTCATCATTTAATCTTTATGCAGTCCATTTTTGTAAAGAATAATTAACAAATTTTCTATTTATACAATCAATGCCTGTAATATTACAGATTTTTTTTAATATTCCAGATAATTTATCTCAACCGAATGTTGCATAGAATACCAATTTCCATTTATAATATCTAAGATATATTATTAAATTAATAAAATATAATATAATTATTAATAATGTTTTTTAATGTTACAACATGCACCTTCTAATTCAAATTCATTTAGTGAAATAATATGTATAAGTGGTTGATTAAAATTTATTCGTTAATAATAGCTAACTTGATGAGTTTTATCATTAATTATAATAATATCAAATTCTCTATTATTATGTTCTTTAAAATGTTCAGTTATAATATTACAATAAGATCCTCCTTTTAGTGCTATATAACATCTAACCCATAAAAAAACTCTTCTAAGTAATCTATTTAATATTTGATTTGATATATTAGAATAATAATTATTTCTTCATTTATAAAGGTATTAATACCATTATATTTGCCATTATTAATTTCCTCAAGTTTAACTATCCTAGTATATAATGTATTACATATTGTCCCAAATTCAAATCTTTATGAATATTAAAAGATTCTTTTTCTTTGATAAAATCGATTTATAACACAAATTCTATTATATGAGAAGATTGTTAAAAAATCAGATTTTGAGAATTTTTAAATAAAATTTAGCTTTATTTTAATTTAATATCATTAAAAATTGAAATGTAATAAAATTTAAAATTTTATTAAAAAATTTTCAAAATCTGATTTTCTAGTAATCTATCCATATAATGTATTTGCTTTATAATCTTTCTTGTCTCTAAATTAAATAATTACAATAAATTCACATAATATCTTCTTATCATAAAAAGTTAGTAAATCCATTTCTGATTGTATATTATTTACAAATTCTTCAAATTTGAAATACTGAAAAACTATAATCTTATAATTTTTTTAGTATATTCAGATCTGAATATAATAATATATTTTATAAACTTTTTATAAAAGGATATTTATATATTTTTTTTAATTTTGATGATTTAGAAGTTTTATATATTTTAAATATTTTACTTTATCTAAAATAGCAAATTTTTCTTTTAATTCAACTATAATAGCAAAATTATTCTTTGAATATAATAAATCTAAAACTTTTTTAAAACTTTTATTCATATTTTTAAATTATAAATAATGAAAATAAATGAAAGAAAGAAAAAGTATAAATGGGCTGTGTGGCTATATAAATAATAAATATAATTGATCTTCATTATAACAAATTTCTATATTCTGAATTTTTTGTTATTGTGAATTTCATGAGTAATCCCAAATTTTATTAAATAAAATAATTGAATATAATAAATTTTTATAATAAAACTTACTATTATATATAACAATTTACAACCCTATATCAAATATAATAAATAGGACTTTGTTAACAAATTTTTTTTCTTGTATTATTATTAAAGAAAATGTTAAATTATAAATTTTAATAAAGTATAAATTAATAATTTAAATATTTAATAAAATATGTAAAATTATTAGAATTTCTAATAAGTCAAGTTAAGTTGAATTGAGTCGAATCAAAAAATTTAAAACTCTAATTCAACTTGACTTAAGTTATATTTAAATTTGACCTAACTCAACTCGAATCAAATAAAAATCCCATAAAATATATTTACTGATTATATAAATAATAAAATTATAAAATTATATTAATATTTCAGAGGTTATTATCTAATGATTTACTAATCAGAATTTCATAAAATCTACACCATAATATTCGCTGAGATGCGCTGTTAGCTTAAACGGTTCGTCGTTAAGTTAACTAAGATTATTTGCTAACAGGGAGTTTAAGTTCGTCTAAACTATGG